ACACACACACACACACACACACACACACACACACACACACACACACATACGACATACTTGCTGCCCAGATGAAGAGGAGTTAAACAAAAGTAGTTATTCTTCTTTGAAATGTTTATTATAAACGAGGTACAGAAAAACATCCCATTTTTGTCAGGAATTGTTGATTAAAGCAGAAACAAGAGGATTCTTCACAGGAGAAGTTTACTAGCTTACAGTTCGTAAATACTGCAAGGGGTTCTATTTAACAAGCTTTCAACACAGCGTTCTGAGCCTTACATGAGCCTCCAATAGGAGAATCATCACCATGGTGCCCTGGATTCTTACATCTTTGAAGAATTGAAAAGAAATACAACCAAGAGGGGGAATCCCTTGTCCTTAGAACTTAGAGAGAAAGCCAGCAAGGTATGAAAATTGGCTTTCAGGTACCCTTTATCTCTGGCACCAGCACTGATCTCCATGTTAGCCATCTGACCAGGCTGTGTGCTAGAGGCTCCCACATGCTGAAGAGTCTGTCTTTTCAAATGTGTGTGGTTCTGAGGCAACCATTTTCCTCCTCTCCTTCAGCTTGCAGGGGTTCTCAATGGCTCGGTTGCCCCCCTTATACACTCCTTTGCTGGTTTTTTCAACTGGAGTTTTGCAGCAATGGCGATGGCCTTGTGGTTTCATGAAGCAGATGAAGACCTGCAGCATGTGTGTCAGCTCCCCTGGAGGTTAATTAGGTGCTGCGTGTACCTGGGGGTCTGCTCTGTCCAAAGTGTGCTCCCGTGTCTGTGTGAGTCAGAGCCCTACTGTCCTCAGGCTTACTGTGCTCTGATTTCCTCAGCACGGGCATAATTGGTTACATCAGATACCCCTTTCATTTCACTCTATTGACTGTTTTATATCAATTCCAAAATAGTCTTGAAAGGAGAAATACCCAGGCAAGCACATCTCTTGTCATTTAGCGGTGATAAATGACTGGCTTTGTAGAACATTGATTTGATTTCTTTCAAAACGGCTGCCCCCATGATTTAAAAAGTTTTATATTACCAGTAAAACATTAGTTATTTGTTTCCTCATTTTTGCTTTTTTTTTTTTTTCTGGCTGCATTTGGTACCTCGTGTGTGTGTGTGTGTGTGTGTGTGTGTGTGTGTGTGTGTGACTGTACCCCTTTGCATATCTGTGTCATACCCTCATTCATTCATTCATTCATTCATTCATTCCTTGGGCAGACACACATGAAGGATCACCTGTGCTAAGTGGAAAAGACAGAATGGTCAGTTCTACCCTCTTAAAACCCAGAGTCTGCCTCTGACAGTGATTTTTTTTTTTCTAGCTTTCCTTTTTCTGATTGTTTGTTTCCTGATAGAAGTATTCCTTTCTGTTTGATTTGTAGGAAAGCGGGTCTCATCCTTTCCCAGCTTGGAGATCTGAGCAGCTGGTGCAATGGACTCCTTCAGGAGCCCAAGATAAGCTTGAGGCGTGGTTCGCTCAAATACCTGGGCTGCCGATACAGTGAGATCAAGCCCTACGGACTGGACTGGTCAGAGCTCAGCCGGGACCTCAGGAAGACATGTGAGGAACAGACCTTGAGTGTCCCCTACAATGACTATGGAGACAGCAAAGACATCTAGCACCACGGGACCAGGAAATAGCTTCCAAAATAAAGCAGGAGAGAAGAGGGAGACATCAGGGTTGGTTTGTGGATATCTAGACATTTTTTTTAATGGAACATCCAAAGCTCCACAGGTACCTTCTAAACCAGGAAGAGAATGACCCTTGCTCCCTGCAGGACTTGTCCAGTGTGATAATCTCCACCTGCATGACCAGTCAACCCGTCAGCCAGTAGCTTCATGCAGCACTGTTTTGTTTGTCTGTTTGTTTTTCTTTTCTTCGTCTTACAAGATTATCTTGAAACTCACTTTGACATTCATTTGATTCATTCATTTTTTTTTTCCTTCAAGAAGTTTATCAGGATGCTCAAGAGCTCCATCCTGCTTCCTACGAAAGGCCTAAGGTGCAGGGACTTCTGTTTAATGGGTTCTGGGGACAGAAGTGATTGCATGAAGCTCCACTTGCCTCATGCCCCAGCTCAGGCCTTTCTTAGGAAGCACTGAAATGCTGGGAGCCAAGGCATGCACCGAAGAAGATGATGAAGTGACCCATGTCTTTTTCTCACAGGTTTTCTCCCAGGCTCTCCTGTTACGATCTCCACACCTCACAGGTGATTCTGTTATAGGTCCATTGGGCCTTATAAAGTTAGGTCTTCCCTCCCCTGTGTTAAACCAGGACTACAATTTCTGGTGGATTTCTATCCTTTTTCCTAGACAACATGAACTTTGAGAAGCAGTGAGTCATCACCTGTCAAATGTAGCTCCAGAGAGGGGCTCCCTGCAAGACTACTTAGCAAGCCCCATTGCAGGAAATAAGTGGAGTTTGTTTTAAAATATTTGTACACTCCTAGACTACCATCAGAGATCTAAGAGCCTTGATTCTGCTTGGACTGGCTCTCTTTACCTGGACAGAAAGAACTTAATTGATAGCTAATCCAACCCAGGAAAGAGAGTGTTTCAACGAACTAAAGATATTATCAATCTCAACAGCGTTTCTGTCCATACTCCCCTTACTAAATTTTCTTAATTATATTGTAAATGTTGGCAGTCCTTTCTCTGATGAAAGTCAGCAGAGTTCTGTCATTGTCACTGCCTGCCCATCCCCCGACTCTGCCAGTTACTGAAAAGCAGCAGAGCCTCTGGGTAGACCAGAACATCTGGTGATGGCACATAAGGACTAGGGCTCCGTTTGCACTCACTGCCCAAGAATGATGTGGAGACCGAGCTAACGGGAAGGCTAGCCTTTCAGAAACAACCTCATGGGACTAGGTTGACTAGCAATGACCCAATGTACATTCAGCCAGGTTGACTTGGCTGGAACTCGTCATGTGGAAACACATGACACGGGTCTGGAAGACTCTATGACTCAGTCGCTGAACCTTATTCATGTTTTCCAATTAGAAATAATGACAGACAGCATTGACTCTTTGCCATGTGATGCATACTACTATAAACGACTGAATTCTGAAAGTTCTTTTTTTATCTACCTTTTGGTGAGGGATGAGAAAAACCAAGGCAGGGAGGTAATTCATCTTTCCCCAGGCCTCTCATTCACTATATGCCCTGCAGGATGAGCTCACTGTCTCTAGAGCACAGGAGTTTAACCACACTATGTTGCCTAAAGCACACAACTATTGAAGCTCTAAGCTCCACAGGGAACCTTCCCAGAGAACTTTACTTTTCTAAGGAACCATGTATAGATGTTCCCCAGTGTAACAAAAAGACAAGGAGCCAAAGTACACCAACAGCTTTTAGAGTCAGGGCACATTTGGTGCCTTCCGCACTGCCACACACTGGCTTCCCCATGGATGGGTAGGGAGAAGATTAAATTGCAGGCTGGTCTTATTCCTCCTCTTGCTTCTTTCCAGAGAAATACTGGAAAAACTTACCTTATACTTTTTTGCCTCACAGATTCCCTAACTTTTAGAACAAAACACAACTGAAACTTGGCTGTTTCCCCTGTGGTCAATGTAGGGACTTCAGTAAAAGTGCATCCAAAGGCAAGTTCTTCACCATTGCCAGAGAAGAGGACGCTATGGGCCAGTATGGCAGGGCATGTAGCATCGCTTACTGATGTTCTTTTTCCATTTTTCTATTCAACCTATGAAGAAAATGGTGTGTTGGTTTTGAGCAGGAGGATAGTGAGGCTGCTGATGCCTTCTAGTCTTGTTGGAGATAGGACCTTGCAGGCTCAGGAGGGAAGACAGGGAATGTTGTTAAATCACTACTCTCTTATGCACCCCTGCCCCATTCTGATTTTACTCCAGGCATACTCTCTGCCACCTTTATACCTTGTTCTCTGAAGCTATCTCATCTCCTACACATATCCTTTATCATCCACCTTGCCCTCCCTTCTCCTTGACTGCCTTATTCATTCATTGTGCTCTTGGGTTCTCTTCTCTTCAGATGTGTGTGCCTATATACACACCCTCATTCCCAAGCTCTACACACACAACCCCTATGACTGGTGCAATGGACTTTTATATTAAAAAGTCCAACATAATTGGGTCAGGGGTAGTCTTGAGATGGTTATACATGCGGCTGGAGGACTTTTACTCTCAGAGAGATACAAATCAAACCCTGCCAATAATTTTCAGTTCTTGCCTGAAGGAACTGTCTAGAAAGGCTAATGCAATTGAGCCAGTATTAAACCTCATTTCCAAACTGCCAAACAGGTCTTAAGGGAGCCACTTCAGTCCACCTAAACCCTTCCAGTTCTGTGTCCAGCTGAGACCTCCGTGTTTCATCTTGAATGTACACAAACTACTGTATAGCATCAGACCCTTAACTGAATGTGCAATTGTTTCTCTTGGAGTTTGGTCCATTTGTTCTTTTTAATTAACTGCACTCCTTGATAGTCAAATGTTATATTAAAATTAATTGTGAAAACACTCCACTACTGTAGAAGGAAGGGACAATATAATATGACCAACTTCAACTATACCAGTGTTGTTTAAGAGAATTATTGTACAATTATGAGAAATGAAGTAATTGACTAAATAATAAAGAAAGCTGTCAGTAAGTGTTGAGTGTGTGGATATTACCTCGCGTCTCCTCATAAACTGAGTGATCACAGTGACCCACTGGTGAATTAAATTTTTAAATGGTATAATTTTGGTTCCAAATACCTAGGCTTTGAAGTCATCATCTTAACTAGAAACAAAAGTTGGTTTCTACTTACCTTTTTATTTGGCAGTGATTTTAGTCTTTTATCCCTTCCTCTAAGTAAGCAGTAAGTAGACCATCTTTGCATCATATTCACTGTATTCCAGCCACAGAGAGATGCAAGCTTGACCTGTCAAGCATGGCCTTCCACAATGAACACATCACCACAAGAAGAAAATAGACTGATACAAAGCACAAAATGGGAGAAGAGGAGCTGAAGTTCAGACCTTGTACATCTAAGAAAAGTGTTGACAAAGGCTATCCCTAATCCATTCTTGTGCTTTGCAAAAAGGCCTTTGGGATTAGCTAGATGTTATGAAATGTCTCCTGGTGAATAACCCAACATGAATTTTTTTTTTTCACTGTACAATGTGGGGAAAAAGAAAAAAAAAAACGCTAGATGTTTCTTGTCTGCCACCAAAACATGATTCACTTTAAATTCATCAATAATCAAAGGTTAAGAGTCTGGGCTTAATATAAGCTCTGAAAAGCAATGATCAAAGCCTTAGGCCCTGCCCAGGCAGGGATGATTAGAAGAATACACAGGCTGTGGCAGCACTGCAGTTTGGCCACAAACTCTTCCACACCTCTTTCAACTAAAAGTGTGTTTCTCTGCTTCTCCCCTCCAGTCCGCACAGGTATATGGCTGTTTTGATCAATAGTTTATGATGGAAGTGACAGTTTGTGGCTTCTACATCACAGTCAAAAAGGCTTTGGGTTTTACCTTGCTCTGGAGCTGATATGCTTGGAGCATTCGGTCTTCACGTAAGAAATCCAAGAGTTGGAGGTAGAGGATGGTTTAGCAGGGAAGCATGCTTGCAAGTCTTATAGAGAACCTTGACTCAGCTTCCCCATCCACATAGCAGCTCACAAGGCATCCAGAACTCCAGTTTCAGAGGATTTGACACTCTCTTTTGGCCTCTGTAGGTACCACACACATGAATACATATATGAAGGTAAAGCATTCTTACACATAAAATAAAAATATTTATTTTTAAATGGAAGAAATCCAAGCCTGCCACCCTTCCTTTAACTCTGTGATGGGAAGGTGTATCTTGGCTCTTGGTCCACAGATTCCCTATAGGGCAATTCTGCTGTGAACACACAAATGAAGCAGTCTGATAACCTTAAGATTAGTCCCCCTACTGCCACTGAAGAACATGTCTAGGCCCATGGTCCTACTGAGGCTGGGGCTTGTGTTGATGTCTGTGACATGTATTACCACCTCCCACCAAAAGCCACATGAATGTTGGTATGCCCCTGGTTTGAGTTGCAGCCTAAAGACATGTTGATGTCAGGGGGCCATGCTGCTGTGGAGTTGGGGGGCATCTTGATGTGAGTAGCCTGCACTGCCACGTGAAGCTATGATGATGCCTGTGTTCTGGGCTGCCTCTGAGGGCCTTGTCTGGGTCTGTTAGCAGGTCTGTTACTGCAGCCTGGGCCCATGATCATGGTCCATTCTGTCACCAGAAACCATGTAGAAGTCCATGATCTGTACTCCTGCTGAGAGTGAAGAGCAAGGGAGCTAGTTTTGCAGTGATATTGATGATTACAGACATACAGTTGAGAAAGAGGGACATGGAAGGCTTTTGTGACAACCCCTACCCTCACCCTCGCATCCATCTCCCCAAAAGTTACCTAAACAAGAAGCCATTGTAGAGAACTCTTAAAAGTGTGATAAAGATCCTGAAGTTAGATCTTGACAATTGATAGCTTCTGTTGGGATGAGGGAGGAGAACGACTCAGTTCTTTTAAAGGTGCAGGCAACTGAGAATTTAACCATGCTCCCGGCAGCATATAGATAACACAAATTGGACTTTGTTTTATTTTACTTTTACCTTTATAGTTTTATTTTTGAAGGGGGAGGTCACAAGCGTGGGAGCAGACATGGAAGGACTGGGAAATGTGTATGCATGCTGTGACACTCCCAAAGAATCAATACAACTATCATATTGGAAAAAAAAATACTAGTGTCCCTACCTATTGCCTAGGAGCACCAACTTCTGTCAAAGTGATGAGGAGTAACAGCCAAAAGCACAGTCATAGATGAGAGACAGTAAGGGTAGCTTGCAGAGACAGCTGGGACTTGGGTCATGGTGGCAGCATGTTGGGAGAGTTATGATGGTTTTTTTTCTTTTTTATTATTCTTAATTTTTTTGCAATTTATTCATTATATATCCCAATTAAAGCCCCCTCTCTCAACTCCTCCCACTCCAACCCTCCCTCCCTCTTTCCCCTATCCTCTTCCCCTAATCCACTGAAAAGGGGAGTTCTCCTCCTCTGCCATCTGCCCATAACTTATCAAGTTTCATCAGGACTGCCTGGATCTTCTCCCTCCGTGGCCTGGCAAGGCTGCATCACCCGGGAGCCAGTGATCAAAGAGCAGGCAACCAAGTTCATGACAGAGGCAGCCTTTGCTCCCCTCACTCCCTTGTGAACCCCATACAGTGGTAACTGTCTAGAGCACAAGACTGGACCCATCAACATTTCATTGTAGATGGTCAGGCCTTCCATGTGGCCTCACTCTTCTGTGAGATTCTATTGACAGCTTCATTGATGATTGCTGGGCAGCCATTTTCTTTAGTGATGTAGTGATGATAAGCTTCTAGTAAATAACCTCTCACACATCTACACACATGCAGGCAACTCTTATTAGACTCACTGGATCACACACTAACCAAAGACGAGGGTAGGAGGGACTTCTTGTTAGGAAGAACAAAGGTGGGAGATGCAAGGGGATGAGAAAAAGGAATGGAGAATGAAATGGTTAAAACCCCAATATATATATATATATATATATATATATATTCATTATATGTATATATGCATGAATGAATGAATATATGTATGTATGAAAGTGTGTCAAGATTTAAAGGAAAAACGTTCAGGAGTCATAGCCTATTTTAACAGTCTAAGTATATTCTCACTTCTTGTTTTGCTTCCTTTTATTTATTTTTTCTTTCACAAAGCTACAGAATTATTATTCAAGCTCTATATTTACCTTTGTAGATCTTTTGGGTTTGTTTTTTTTCTCATGCATCCAGAGTCCTGTCAATACGTGGATAAAAACTCAGGGTATAAACACATTCAGCAAAGCAGGGACTAAGACATAGACCCGGAATCCAGTCCTGATTTTGATAAACTCAGCTACCAACCCTGTTTCCATCATGAGCTCCAACAGTATTACTATTTCTTTTGAAACAATTAATTAGTAGTTCCATTTCAACTAAAGCCTCAACATTGTATAGAAATTACTCTCGGTTCACTTAGGGAATCTGGGACTTGGTTTGTGTCTGTGCTAATCCAAATTGAGGGGAAAAACATATTTTTACATTTTTTTTCAGGAATTTTGCAACATGCGTGCTACAATTAGCTGATTCCCTTACAGATGGACAGGTTTTGACATCACATTTCTTTACCCAAACTGACTTTTGTTAGCATCTATGATATACTCACCCACATGGGGTACAAATTAGTATAATTCATTCCTTACTACCTTTCCTAGGAAGAAAAGCCTAGTTTTACTCTGTGCCTAATAAGAAGGGCTAGTTCCTTTGTTTTGAATGATTAAAATGTCAAGAGACCCTGAGGCTATTGTCCAAAGAGTCACACACTGTTCTCTGACTTGCCTACCAGACAGGAAACCACCTCAAACCATGTCCTTGTGGTATTCCAGGACTCAGCTTTATTCACACAGATTAAACCAAGGTCAGACAAGTCCCATGTGCCCTCAACAGCCAATAAACCTCTTTTGAAACTATTGCTCTCTTCTTCATCACACAGAATGGACTCTTAATAATGATGGTTCTAGACTCTCTTATCATCTGGCCTCCACTGGAACATGAGATATACTTTCAGAAGTTTAGAGGACAGGAAGGGACAACAAGCTGTGATGCTTTCATCTTCCTCTACCCTGGATGGTGTCTCCAGCTCTTCTTAGGTGGCCTCTATATTTTCCATGTGTCTCCTGTGTCTGCAAAGTAGGAGCATCTCTGGACGTTGCCATACTTAAGGTTGTCTTACAACCCTTGCATTTTCTTTCCCATAGTCCCGCCTTTCTGGTTGCTGTCACATTTCAAACATCCTCTCTGAAATGACCTATGACCATTTCTGTTTCCTTTTCTGGGCCTTAACTATCACATATGTTATTGTAAGAATTATTTACATAGTATTTGACACATGACTTCTGAAAGTGCTTATGTTCTTGGAGGCTACCTTGAAGGTTGAGTTTTGATGACAAAAGAGTTTAAATTTACTTAAACTCTAAAACTCATTGCAGGAATAACAAAGAAGTTTTTAGTCCGGTGATGAATTTGATCAAGGGATTGATTGGGCCTCCTAATCAGTTTGCTTGAAGAGCATTCAGATTATGAGTATAAGTACCTGGTCAAGAAAAGTGAAATCATCGCTTCTCAGCCTTTTGGCTAAGATCAAGTGAAGAAAAGTGAAATTTACTTCTCCCTGAAAAGAGTATAGAGACTGTGACTCTCAAGACCTGTGATTACCTACCCTAATTACAGGAACAGAATAGGCAAAGAGTATGTAAAATAGTAAATACACATATTTGGTAAATCTCTCCCGACAAAGCTAAAGTAAACACAATTTCATTGTTCTTTGATAATGGAAATAGAATCAGAGCAAATAATTCACTTCTGAAATCTTTTGGTCTCGCTGGTACATGATGAAAGCCTCAGAATTCTACTTATGTGTTTTGAAATGTCACTTTCATTTCTAAAACTGAATGTTAAGGCATATAAAAGTAGGGTTTTACTATCATAAATATAACAAAACAAAGCATTTCAAAGCCTCCATTTTTGCTACTTGAGCAATACATCAGTTAAACTCAGACTT